CCACATATATGTGTATTGTTTATTGGGAAGCTAGCCATCTTATCTCAGAATAATATTCCAATTTAGTCATTCACTTGGTGAGAAGCACTGTGTTGATTATGGCAATAGAAGAAATATGGTATATAATGTGTTTCCAGTAATTTCCATTGCAGAACTTCCTATCTTGTCAAATTACAGATTCTCCAGATTTACCTCCTCTTTCTGAATATATGTAAATATGCAAATATGGAAACATTTATTGAACAACTATTATGTTCCAGGATAATCCTAGGCCCTGATGATACAGGAGAGGAGTCAAAAATACTTGTTCTAATGGAGTTTACATTCTGTTAGGAGAAGGAGTACTGATAACAAACAGATACGTGAATAAAATATATGGTATGTTGAATGGCAATAAATATGATACAGAAAAATAAAGCAGAGAATATGGATAAGGAGCTGGAGATCTAGTGGGATGGGCTTAGAGAAGTCCCCTGAGGAGGTAACCTTTGAGAAAATAATGAAAGAAAGGAGGAAAAGGACCATATGGAGATAAGGAAGAGCATTACAGGTAAAGGATAGGAAGTGCTAAGGCCTCAGGTACATGTGTGCCTAGTGTTTTGAGAAAAACAAAGTAACTGTTGCAGCTGGAATGGAGTGAGCAAAGGGGACAATTATGGGAGATTACCATAATCTACTCCAGAGAGGTAAGGGGAGTAGAATTGGGGAGGGGTATAGATTGTATAGGGTTTTGTAGGCTAATATAGAGACTTTGAGTTGAATGAGATGAGAAGCCTTGAGAGGTTTTGAGCAAAAGACTGACATCTTCTGATTTAAATTTTTAAAAAATGACTCTGGCTACTATTGAGAACAGGTTATAGAGACACATAGATAGATGCAGGGAGATCAGTTAGAATGGCCTGCAATATTCCAGGTAAGAGGTGATGATAGCTTGGACCTAGGTGTCTGTGATGGAGGTACAAAGAAGTATCAAGATTCTGGATAGGTTTTGAAGGTTGATTCATGGAGCTTGGTAATGGATGGGATGCAGATTATGGAAGAAAACAGATCATTGTTTTTTGCCTAAGGACTTAGAAAAAAAATTGCTTTTTAAAGTTGGGGCTACTATTGAAAAAGCAGGTTGGACAGGGAGGAGCGAAGACCAGGAAATTTCTTAAGGTTCTTATTGGGTTATGATAAATACTTCATTTCCATATGAAGATGTCAAAAAGGTGTTAGTTTTAGAGTATAAAGCCTTTAAAATTGAATGTGGTTGTTTGGAGCCCCGTATCATGTTTCACTGACCTGAGGTTGAGTGGCAGTCTTTACATATACCATCAAATTTGACAGTCATTATCATGAAGCAATATATTATTTAAGTAAGTGGGAATATTATATTCTTTTGGTCCGACACAGATTTATGTTCATGTACAGATCTATAATGTGACCGAAATTATTATCATTGCATTGTTATAATTGGTGGATTTGCTGTTTTTAAATTATTTTATAGAATCATTGAATACATTTTTTCATATTAATAGGACACAGTCACACTGTGTACTAGAATCAATGTTTATCAATTAGCCTACTAGATTTTAGATACAAATCGACTGAAATATTCAAAGGCACCATTTATATACAGAGATAGATATAGAAATATAGTTCTAGATTTAGAAATATAGGTATAACATATGCTTACAAGTGCCTACATATATCCTTGTACATATGTGATATATTTGGATGTGGATATTTATTGAAGTGGACACTTCTGTTTTGCTAACCTTATATCAGCTTTCTTTTGGGAAATGATCCCTTCTTAACTTTTCCACTATCCATGTGGTAACTCTGGAATTCCCACTGTTGTATACCAGAGAGATCCAGGGGTGAGCATCTGCCTCTCACTAACAAATCATAGTCCTTACCACAGTTTGATGCTGAAGTAAATAAATAGAGGATAGTGCTTCCTTGGGAACTTGCCCATAAATTAAAAACTAGGGAGCTACAGACAACATTTTTCCAGTACAGCTCAAAGAAGCAGGCAAAACCAGAGATGAACACTAAGACAACCAGAATGCAAGGAAGAGAGAGATATTAGGAACAAAAAAGCAGACATGGGGGCAGAATTAAAAATAACAGAGATTACTGATAGTATTGGAGTTTTTGATATTTAGTGCCTAGCCTCACTCCTGACTTTGGATTGTAGTCACTCCTGTATCTTTATTGTAAATAAATCATTTTTATTAAACCAGTTTGTATGATTCTTGGAATCAAAAGAATCATAATCGATATATGACTAAATCCTTGTGTAGACTAAGATAATAAAGTTTCTTGTTGTTGTTATTGTTGTTGTTTTCCTTCTCTTCCTTCTCTTTGAAAGCAGTACCCAACTTATTCAAGACTTTTCTCTTCAGAATATCTATGCTCAAGAGTATTTTTTCCTAGGATAAGATGGAAAAATAATTTTGTTTCATTTGTTATCTTGTTTGTGTTCTTTGTGTTCTAAGACTCAGCATTGATCAAATCCTTGGCATTGATCAAGGAAGAAAAACTTTGGGGGAAAAATTGGCCATAGTAAATTCCACTGTGGTATCCAACATTATCATTTTATTTCCTTTATGTTTAAAAGGAAACAAAATACTCTCAAAATTTATTGAATACTTAATGTATATCAGACATTGATTAAATTATTCTGCTTTAATCCCATTTTCTTGACAACAGTCTCCAAAGTATTATTCCTATTTTATGAAAAGAGGAAACTGAGAACTAATCAGGGATTTCCTCCACAAGGTCTCACAACTGTTGGCTGAAAATAAGATTCAGGACTCTAATAACCACTACCACATGCCTTATATCTGCATAGAAATTTCCAGGGGATTTTATTGCATGAATCTACTGTCAGTTGACTGTTAAAATAGCCCCAAAGTACTATTTTTAGTTACAGTTGCACCCATTCCACCCCACATGATGAAAATTAATGTAGGCTGCCAAAACAATTGATTTCACATTTATCTTAATAATCCATTTCAATATTTGACAGTGTGATACATGCAATAGTCAATGACCTTGGGCTTCAGGGATTTTTGATAGTATTCTTAATTTCCTAAAGAGTATTTTTTTTCTGTGATACATAAAATGAAATAGAAAAGATTTGGTTAGCATAATCAAAATACCACCTTTTCACATCAGTATGACATAAAAGGACATTACAGTTTCTGCCATCCCTAACTGAATAAAATAAGTGTCTCATTCCTCCAGCATTTCTGGTTTCTAGACTGGTGATCATGAAAATGTCTCCTCCTGAATCCTTTCCAGGTCTCCAAAGATCCTGTCAGTTTTGGAATCCAGAAAGCCTTCAATTCCAGGACATGCACCTTATTATACTGCTCAGCCAGAAATTCAGCTCTGAGTGAACCTGATGTCAGCTCAATGTGTCACAAGCCAGTTTTTAACACTAGAATATAAAATCCTCAGAGTGAGGGTATAATTGGCCCAATTACATTTTGGCTGAGACTAAACTCACCAATGTCTGTACATTGGGAAAAAAATAATGTCTTATAATGCCATTTCACATACATATATAGAGAGATAGATGACTTATATACAAGTTTATTTTAGTTGGGACTCCCATTTAGCCATATCTTAATGTTTATAAGTCATGCATCATGCATTAGCATAAAACTATGCCATAACACTGTGATATCCATGAAATTCAGTAACGTAAACTCTAGGATTCCATTATTATAAAATTAAAGAAAATAAATATTTTTCCATAAGCCTGTGCTTTCAAAATCATAAATTAAATATAATGGAGTTATGCCATACATACATATTGGTATAGATTGTATAGTGGACTGAGAAAGGCCCCGGGGATCATAAAGTAACCACTCTGAAGCCCATTTCTTCCTCCTGGAAGGTAAGAACTTCAGCCTGTGTTGACTGAGAAGTGGACTGATGCAGAACAGGAATCCACATTCACTTGCATTATAGTATAACTGGACGCTCCTTATCAGCTTCTGGATTACATGGGCTGTGTTATTGCTGGCCACAGTCTTGCTGGGGGAGCTATCCTAGGATTTTATGGATATTGTAAAAATTGTTTTATCCATTTTATTCATTTTAACTGAGTTTTAGTAGGACTGCTAATTTTATCTAACATTTTGATATAAATCAAAAAGACTCTTAATCAGCAAAAGAGGGCAAATTGACCTATGTCAAGTTTTCCGTGTTAGCATCCATTCTTTATACTTATACACTGAGTAAAATGACACTGTATTCCTCCTAACAAAGTATGCATTTCTACTGAGCTCTAACCCACATTTTCTGACTAATTCAAACCATATGCCAGTGAGTCCACTACATATTTTTATATTGTGGGTTAATGAGACTTGATAGACTGTGTCATTTCTTCTTCTTTCAAACTTGAGGGTAAACACCAGCTTGAGAAAGAGCCCTTTATATTTTTACTTTTTAATGATGCAAACTTCCTTGAACTGCAGTATAGAAAGTACCAATAATTTTATGCTTTTGCTTCTTTAGATCTCAGTGCTGTTATGACTTAGCTCCAATATCTTATATAATAACTATTAGTGTTTTAAACTGGCTTCTCTACAGATGACATAGTAGAGAATGTCAACATGATGCTGTCTTTTTGTCACAAAACAATACTTTAAATTTCAGTCTGGTGAGAAGTATTTAAAAACAGATACAATTTGCCTTGCTTAATGCTTGAGAATTGGCCATTGGGCAATGTTGAATGTGTTTACATTCTTATATGGTGGGTTTATCTCCTTATCTTTATCAATTGGCATGAACTTCCCAAACTACAGATTTTAGATCCGATTTTCTCCAGATCATGGTATGAAATTGAATGAGCTAAATCTTTATTGCCTTTGATATGGTTTGGGAATAACATTTACATTAGGCATGAAAAGTATAGCTGAGGTCGGCTGTCTAGGATTCTAAATTGTAACTTTATATTTAAAGAAAAAACATAACTCACATACATTCAGAAGTATCAGACAGGGCACCTGCTTATGGGATCCTGAGAAAGCAGTTTCTTGACCTTTAATAATGTCTTATTCCTGTTGTTTATCCTCTGACAATTGTGTTCGGACTTGTCAGTGGGGAATCACAGCCCATAAGTAAATGATGAGAGGATATTTGCATTTATTTCCTTGTTTGACAATAATTCTGAAGAACCTGGAGGGAAGACAATTGAAAAATTAAATTAACTCAGGCCAAGGCCAATAAAAAGAAGTCCCCTGAAGTGCTTCCGTAAATGATAGAAGTGCTGAAGACTTACTTCGTTTATATATGACGAGGGAAATGGTATCAGTCATCTATAATTTTCATGTCCCTGTTGCTGACAATAGATTATTAATAAATTTATGATGAATGCCTTTGAAATTTCTGAGAGGTTTTCTGGCTTAGATTATCAATTGTATAATTCTGTAGGACAGTGGAGTTCCTATGGTGACAGTTTTGGCTAATCTAAGCCAAGGCCTAATCTTGGGGTCCTTAAATCAATGACAACATATTGAAGCCAATGAGTGGATAGCATATTAAATAAAGTCTTTCATAATTCTGTGTAATAAAACCATAGGTTATAGATGAACCCCATTGGATTGGATGTGGAAGGTAATTTTGGATAACAGACCTGTCTCTACTTTTGCACATAGGAGGCAGCACCATTTAATAACCATATACCACAGAGCATGTGACACAGGGTACTGGCTAGTGCCAGGCCTCAAGGCAGCATTATTAAGACCAGCAGCCCTTTTTTCTGAAACTCAAAACTTAGGTTATGCCATAGTTATTCTGCCAATTCCCTTTGACTCCTGAATTTATTTTATGATTTTTATCTGAGTCATTACCTGAGGTTCAGAGGTCAACCTAAACTTAATCCTCAAAATATAAATTATGATATAATATATTTATTGAGGACATTATCTTTCTGTTAGCTTGAAGGTATAGTCTGTTGGGTTTTTTTTTTTCTCCCGTTCTGAGATTTTCTTTATCTTCTTTTACTGTAAACTACAGCAGTGGTTCAGAAGCCAGCATGTTAGGCCCATCCTTATTCAGCCTCACCCCTTTACATTCCACCTTGATATGACTCTTCTTCAGTCCTTCTCCGGAAGTAAGAGCAGCCTTACACTGTGCATCTAATTGCCTACACCCCCATCCAAAGTCATCCTCTAGGTTGGCAGCATCCCTAATTTTACAGTTGAAGAACCTAAAACCCAGATATTCCAAGTGACTTATTAAGGTTACCAGGTCATTACAGCAAAGCAAAAAACAAAACAAAAACCCCAAAAAACACACAACCCAAGAAATTCTGACTCCTAGTCCACTGGAAAAGAATTTGGATCATCTGTTACCTACTATCTGCATAGTAAATGGAAATGTCATATAGTCTCTGAGTCAGAGTTTTCTCATCTTCAAGAGTAGAATAATAATATCTAAGAATTTTGCAGGTAAATGGCTAAATATGAGATAATACAAATGTACATAACACTTGCTCAATAAAAAGTATTTTTGTTTTGCTTTTTAGTGTTACTATGTCTATATTATATTGTGCCTTCCTTGTAGACTGAAAATTATATGTTCCATTCATCCCCCTGATTTCCTACAAGATTTTAGTGTGTTTATTTTAATTATCTGAAAAATCCTGGGGGCAAGATGTTACTGCTTTCCCAAATTGAGATTACATATACCTGTCTCCTGCCAAAAAAAAAACCCCAAAAAACAAAAACAGCTTTATATGCAGCAGGGAGGTTATATAAATATGATTACTGTTACATTTCTACTACAGTATGAGGCAACTATGTATTTATATATTGATCATGGAACTTAAGGTCTTCGTTTTTGGGGGGGAGAAATCTACCCAGTCTGCATGTCTGACTAAACTGTCATGTTTTCACTTTTCAGAATGTTTCATGAACTAGATGTTATCATTAGCAAAGGTAACACCTCAGTATTCTGTGAAACTCTGTAGTCTCTGTGGGCTTGAAATGCCTGGAATATTTAAAGTTCTCAAGTGAAAGTTGAGTTTCACAGTGGCAGAGGAAGTGGCTCCTTGTCTTAGAATCACTTTATTCGCTTGGATCCTAGGTCTCCAGTCTCTGCAGTGACCAGGCTCCTGGGCCACATTTTAGTTTCCTCCTTCTTCCTCTTGCCTGAACTTCCTGACACTGACGTGGCCTCAGGCTTACTACTAGGACTTCTCCTTTCCTTTCTCCCCCTTCCCTTTCCTTCTCTTCTCACCTACACTGATTCCTCAGTGAGCACATCACATCTCATTATAAGAAATCTGCAGTACATGGTAATGATTTGTAAATATACTGCTGATTCTTAAACAAAGGGGTAATGATTTGTAAATATACTGCTGATTCTTAAACAAAAGGGAAGAGAGGGATCCTGACCCCCACACAGTTGAAAATCTGCATATAACTTTTAACTTCCCCCAAACTTAACTACTAATAGCCTGTTGGTGACTGGAAGCCTTACCAATAACATAAACAGTCTATCAACACATATGTTATGTGTATTATATACTGTACTCTTACAACGAAATAGCTAGAGAAAAGAAAATGTTATAAAGAAAAGCATAAGGAAGAGAAAATACATTTACAATACTGTACTGCATTTATGAAAAAAAGTCAACATATAAATGGACCTGTATCATTTAATCCTGTGTTATTCAAAGGCCAACTGTATATCTCTAGCTCAAAGTCCCCTTTGAACATTAGATATCTAAATTTAGTCCCAAACTCATTGCATACAAACATGAACATTTTAAGTTTCACGAGAGAGAGAAGGGAAACAGGAAAGGAAAAAGAAAAAAAAAAATTCCTGCTTTACATACTTTCTACTTCATGTCATTTAATGCCAGTTCCACTGTTGATTGCTCCAGCTCCAAGTCCTCAGAATCATTCTGGAATTTTCTTTTTTCTTCATACCTACATCAAGTGATTTTAAAAGCTTTCTCATTGTTTGAAAACATCCAAAGCCAACCATCACTCACTTTTCCTTCTGCTGTGCTACCACCCTCGTTCTCACCCAGACTATCACAGCAGCCTCCTGACTGGTCTCTTTGCTTGCACCTTTGTCTCTTTATAGTCTTTTCTAGTCTTTTCTCATATCAGCCAGAGTAACCTTGTTAAATCTCAGGCCAACTCAAAACCGTGTAATAGTTCACCATTTCTCTCAGGTCAAAAGCCAAAGACCTGTGCTCTTATATTACCTTGTAGACGTTTTCTTCTACTTTGATTTCTTTTGCTGACTCTACTTCAACCCCAATTGCCTGCACGGAGCATACTGCCTGCCCCAGGTCTTTGCACTTTCTGTTAATTTTGCTTGGAGTGTTTTCCTTAGATACCTCTTTTTCTTTGAAGATTCTTCTCAAAGGTTAACTTTTCAAGGGGTGGCTAACTAGCTCCGTCAATAGAGCAGACTGTTAAACCCAAGGTCATGAGTTCCAGCCCCACACTGGACGTGGATCCTACTTTAAAAAACAAGTTAGCACCTCAATGAGGCATACACTGACCTCCGTGTGTAAACTGTGACACTTCTCACAGGACATGTAATACATCCCAATCTGCTTTATTATTTTTACCATGTACAAATAATTTCTTCTAATGTACTACTATGTACTTCTAATTTCCTACTATGTTATGTGTATTATTACTTACTTATATTTCCCAACTAAAATGTGATCTCCACAAAGGCAGGTATTTTTGTCTTTGTTCACTGATGAATAAAATTCATATACAACTCTTGAGAGAATGAAGGACTGCATATGTTATGCATGCTTGTGCTGCCACATTCTCTTCCATTTCTGACTTCTGACAAGAATCACTTGTGTTCTCCTGTGAGAACATGTCTACAGGAAAATGGTACCTACCAGGCATACAGCTTAATCACACTATGTTCTGGTTTGATAATAATAGAGAGCTGATTGCCATGTTCAGTCTTCTCTTTTTTTTTAAGTTATCATTAACTTTACTAAAATTGTGCTGTATACTTCAAAATTAATGCAACTACCAAGAAACATAGGATGATGCATGCATTCCCTATTTTGAAAATGAAAGTAGTTATAGAATCATAAGGCCTTGAAGTTTAATCCCTAAATAGGACTTCTGACATCTAACCTGTTCCCTGAATTCGTATTGATTAGAGAGGTCCAGTTCACCCAAAAGTCATATAATACATGCCGATTATATGCCAGGCACACTCTTGTGGAAGTACAAAAGTAAATGTGACATTACTTTTACCTTCAAAGAAACTTCAAATCTTGTAGGTAAGACAGATAAGCAATCATTAATCTCATTGGTGGTGAGATTTCCACTTTAACAAGGAACACTTGAAGAAACCTTTTTTGACATCCAGCCCTGGAAGTCACTTAGACCCATGGTGCTTTTTCATCACCTAGTTCTGTGACACAGAATGAAAGAGGATCTGGGCTTTGTAGGTGGGGAAAAAAAAAAAAAAAAAGGAAAGGCAACCTACCTACTCCAGTATTTGAAAGGGGGTATCTTCATGACCGACTTCTAGAGCAAAAATTCAGCATGTCTGTTTTCTGTAAGTCTAAAAGATTTTTCTATTCAGTTAGCTACTTAATTGTATATTGACAGCCACTCTGTGATGTGGGGCAAATCTAATTAAATGTTGCAAATTTTTTATTTTATAATATTCTTACTGGTTTTATTGGTCCATTGTAATATTTAGATAAAAGTATGACTGAATATCCTATTTTGGGATTGTCAAAGTAGTACTGATTTTAGAATTGAATTCAGTGTCAATTTGGTGAATGTGACTTCATTAATACATGTATAATATTTGCATAAAGCAAAGCAGTGTTTGTTTAAAGTAATTGTAGCGATATGATGACACTATCTTTCTAAAACTTAACTGGAGAATGATCAAGAAGTTGTATATGTTCTTTCTAATCTCTCTCTCTCTTTTGGCTAAAAAGGTAAAAAATAAGAAACAAATTGAATGCAACACAGCTTACATTTTTAGTGATATGGAAACACGTGCGCCCTTAACATTTATGAGAAATAAATCCTGGGTTGCTTGGGTGGCTCAGTCCATTAAGTGTTGGAATCTTGATCTCAGAGTTGTGAGTTCAAGCCTTATTTTGGGCTCTGTGCTGGGCATGAAGCCTACTTAAAATAAAGAAGCAGAAGGAAAAGAAGAAGAAAGAAATCCTAACCCTGTGTAGTAAGCTGTGTTCATGGGTTATAAGCTTTTTCTCTTGGGTCTCCACAGTTAACTCAGACTAATAATCAGTCTTGTTGCCAAGGAGAATAGAAGGTGATAAAGCATAACTGGATGATGTAGGCAGCAAGAAGTCAGGAATTAAATAGTAAAAACATGACCAACCCAAGCAACTGGCTCCTCTCTCTGGAGGAAAGGTGACTGAAAAGTAGAGGAATGCCCCAGGTCACATTGGTTTTATTGTTCTCACATTTACTTCCAGAAATGAAACAAGGATCTTTCTTTTTCCTCTTCAGTTTTCTCATTTCCTCCAGCCCCCTGGGAACTGTTTTGTGGCCCTAGTGGTGAAATAATTTCTGCTCTCCAACACTGATTTTCCTTTCACTATTCATTTAGCTAATTTCTTTAGACTCCAATTCATGCCATTTTCCTAAGTTAGTCAAAAACTAATTATTTGGGCACCGTATTAGGTATAAAAACTAGGCTAAGCTCTCAACTTGGAGTGTGAAATTAGGGCACTGAATTCTCAAAGCAGTTTCACACAAGGCAAGTGGGAACAAAACCTGGCTTGGGCAGGGGGAGGGGGGTTGGAGGGGGAGGGGAGTGGGGAGGGCTTGTGTATTAGAAGATTTTCATTGTAAGGTGGTTGACGTTAGAGATAGTCCAGTGCCACAGAATGTAGGCTGTATAGCCACAGACAAAGTGCTATCTGAACTTCATTTTTCCTTTTGTAAAATGGGTAAAATCTTGAAGAATAATTCTGATAACATGCACTTGACACATGCTCAACTTTCAATATATGTTAGTTTCTGTATTCCTTATAGTAAAGGGAAGACTCAATTTAATGAGTCAATAAGTAGGTATAGTCACAAGTGTGTCCCTCACTGGAGAAAGGGTAAAACAGTATAGTCTCCTTGTTTTTAGTTTCATATAGTTCTGTTTATGACTCTTAGGTTATAAATTCTTTTTAACATTGAAAAGTCTTCACCCTAAAGATTCTTCATACCTTTATAATCCCTCTTGGGAAACAATGTGGTATACTAGAAGACCACTCTCCCCACCCACACACACACTTTCAGTACTACCAGTAATGCTACTTAGATTTTTAAATCCTAACTCTGCTGCATACTAAGCAGTTTAAGTTTAGAGTCACTGGGTGTCTCCATGCATCAATTCATTTACAAAATTTTAGCAATGTTATGTACTTCACACAGTGATTGTGAGAGTTAATATATAATCAGCATATGATAGCCATTCATTTAAATACTAGTTTTGACTCCAGCCTTAAATTGTTGGAAAAACAAAAAAAATTCTGCCTCCTTGACAAGGTTGATTACAGATCACGTTAGATAAATGAAGCATTTGGAAATGAGTCTTCATCTAAGCAATAAGAACAGCCCTGCTAAATATCAGCATGTGATCCTCTAACCTTTTGTTTATGTCTTTCAAAGGCAAAGGAACCCTGATCCCTCTTCTTCTTCTTATACGTATATACTTATTCTTCTTACTTATACTTTTTTCCTAAGCCTCGTTTTCCTTGCTCTAGTCATTTTATTTGACCTCTTCATTTCACAGCATAAGGACATTCAGCAGAAGCTTGAGAGGAAATAACCTTTCATCTCAAAGTTTATGTCAAGAAGCCTGTAGGGCTTTAGCAATCAACTTCTTTCAGCTAGACTTTGGAGAAGATGTTGAAAGGCGGTTTCCATCCATCCAAATGTTATCTAAATCAATAGGCTATGGGCTTGAGCTCCTATAGACACACAAAAGGGATGAAGCTAGAGTCATTCCAATTGGCTGTGGGAACTTTCAAGCTTTACTTCACACACAAATATCCTCTCTAGAGAAATTCATCCTTAAATTTCTGCCATGTAATCCTTATGAAGACATTTTAGGCCTGCTAATTACTCCACCAAATGTATATATTTATTTATATTTATGCTTATTTATCAGACTTTTTTTTCTTTCACATACTTCTTATGTGACTAGAGGAAGGTGATCATTGCTTCTGATTTGTACAGACATTTTATAAAGATTAAAGTTATTTTAGGATATTAGAAATCAAACAAGGGAGCCCAAGTGCTAAAAGAAAATGATGTCTGGGTTGTTCTCATTAATCAGTTCAACTAAGTACAGGTTAAGCAGGAAAACCTATTGTTTTGATCCACATTGAGTAAAGCTTTTGTAATGTACATTCATGAATTTCCTTAGGAAGGATAATGTAGTAATAATAATTAAATCATCTCATTATAAAACTTGCAATGACACAGGATTGTGATTCTGAATATTAATACTCATTGTCCATTGATTTAAGTATGTAGGAGATTGAAATGAATGTTCCCTTATGCCTGAGTATATTTTGGAATTTGCTTTTTCTTTTTGATATTTTCTTGAAATAAAATCCTGATATTAGTTTGCTTTCCTGAAAAGCAGAGGTCAAGAGAGATTTCTATTATCATTAATTGATTTGAATGTTCTGATTTGAACACTTTGATTGAATCAAAATATGCAGGTCACATTTTTATGTAAATTAACACTCTTATCTGAAGCAAAGAAATATTGTTAACTTATGAATTTTTACATTAGATATTGATTTAATTAATAAAATCTGAAATCTGCTTTCTTATTATTAGGTTGGAACTGAAGCCCTTTTTACTCTTTAACATATTTGATGTACAAAATGGCAATTTAGCTCCAAAAGAGAGATGATTTAGCTGTCTTACACTTTATTTTTAAGTTT